CTTTCATGCCTAAGGCGGGACTAGAACTCACCGTCTCCTGGCGATTGGCCCAAAATCACCCAGCTGTCTTTCATGCCTAAGGCGGGACTAGAACTCCCAGTCTCCTGGTGATTGGCCCAAAATCACCCAGCTGTCTTTCATGCCTAAGGCGGGACTAGAATGCACCATCTCCAGGTGATTGGCCCAAAGCCACCCAGCCAGTTTTCGTTCCTAATTCAGGACTAGAACTCCCAGTCTCCTGGTGATTGGCCAGGAGCCCTGATGAAGCCAGGCTGTTCTAAGTGAAGTGAAGGGAACCCTGCTGTAATTTCACAATGTAAACCAAGATATGAACCCACATACATATAGTCTGAGATTTACGACCATAATGGAGCTTTCCCATTAGGGCTGGAAGTCATAATGGTCGCAAAATGGGTCACCCATGTGATCGATCTAATTTTACGATCTTTTTATTTTTTAGCAGGGGTCATAAAACGAACGGCATGACTGTAAAACAAACTCATGGCTTGTAATGGGCCAGTTTTTGCTGAAAACCGGATGTCAATGCTGATTTTCGGCAAAACCCTCGTGAAAACACAGTCAAGGAAACGCAGCCATTTGCAGCAGCCTGCCCATTGTGACTGTAAATTGCAATGGTCGCAAAATGAGTCGCTCGTGGGACTGACCCAACTGTACAATTTGGCGATGGTTGGGGTGTGAATCCCTGAAGTCGTGAAGCAAATACTGCAGTCACTAAACGAGCCGATGATTTGCTATCGGCGCGGTTTTTCCTGAAAACCCGAAATAACTTCCAGGGTTTTTTTTTGCAAAACAGTGGTAAAATGTAATCAGGTGATTGTGGGGGACACTGCAAACAACTGTAAATGCAGTTGTGTTGCTGAGTCCCTGAAGTGCAGGCGTGTGATTGCGTGTGCGTGTGTGTGTGTGTGTGTGTGTGTGTGAGAGAGAGAGAGAGAGAGAGAGAGAGAGAGAGAGAGAGAGAGAGAGACAGAGAGACAGAAAGAGGAAAGAAAGAAAAAGAAAGAAAGAGAGAGGGAAAGAGAGAGAGAGAGAAGAGAAAGAGAAAGAAAGAGAAAGAGAGAAGAGAAAGAAAGAAAAAGAGAGAAAAAGAGAAAGAAAGAAAGAGAGAGAGAGAGAGAGACAGACAGACAGACAGACAGACCATCAGTACTTCAGATGTGGGTGATAAATCCCTTTTTTGGGGTTCTTTGTAAACTTCAGTCGCTAAGCAACCGGTTGTAAGTACTTCTGATCTCTGCAACAAGGAAGCCCAGATAAGGAATTCTAAGCTTCTCACAAACGTAGAGCAAAAACTCCTGATACCACAACATGAGCAAAGGGTACAAGGAATTGGCCATTTGAGCACCCACCTGTTTGCCAGTGAAACCTTGACAAATAACCTTTGTATCTTTATTGATGTACATATTTTTCCGCGTGGCTGAATACGAACAGTGCCGTACTCCATTCTTCTGCACTAAAAATTAAAAAAAAGGGGGGGGGAGGAAAAAATGACAATGAATTATTCACTTCCAAGAATATCTGCAAAATTTCAAGCAGCTTACACTTGCATCATATTTCTTCCTCGAAAACTGTAGGAAAGATGCCGTGCTTTTTTTTTTTTTTTAAAGTGTGTTGGAATAAATGCGTAGAAAAAGTTGGAAGCCGAGTGGCTGCTGACTCGACCAGAGTAATAGGGGGAACTTCATATTAGAAAACACCGTGAAGGGAGTCTCCAAGCTATATCCGTGCTCTAAAACTCCTATTTAAAAAAGAAAGAAAGAAAGAAAGAAAGAAAGAAAGAAAGAAAGAAAGAAAGAAAGAAAGAAAGAAAGAAAGAAAGAAAGAAAGAAAGAAAGAAAGAAAGAAAGAAAGAAAGAAAGAAAGAAAATAGAAGCAGAAAATCAAAACTGAATTCTCTGAAATTTTAATGTGTTAAACAGTAGTCCAGGGGTAGGCAACCTTGGCTCTTTTATGACTCGTGGACTTCAACTCCCAGAATTCCTGAGTCAGGAAGTCCTCCAAGTTCTTTATTGTTCTGATCATCCCGGCACACTGCAATTAAACCTATTTTAATTTCAACCTATTAAAAAAGAGCTGACACTTGCAATTGCAACGTGATTTTAAGAATGACCTACAAATCATGTAGATGAGGAAAGGAGCCAGGCTCCCTAATGCTGGGCAACAATATAAGATCAGGAACTCGATTCCACCATGTTTCCCCATACAAAGTTTGCTATCTTGTGTTCATAAGCAAAGTTGGGAGGGAGAAAGCTAGACTGGAGAATGGAGCCAGTTGGTTATGGAAGGAACCAGGCAGACACTTGTGTCTGCACAATTCATGGCATTTCTTAAAACTCCAGAAAAAGAGGGGAAAAGCAACATTTCAAACATCTGGCTCTGTACATTTAGGACAGGGGTAGGCAACCTTGGCTCTTTTGTGACTCGTGGACTTCAACTCCCAGAATTCCTGAGCCAGCCATGCTGAGGGGAAAGGGAGATGTTTCCAAGCTGAGCCATGCTGGCTCAGGAATTCTGGGAGTTGAAGTCCACGAGTCATAAAAGAGCCAAGGTTGCCTACCCCTGGCCTAGGCCTAGGCCACTTTATGACTCGTGGACTTCAACTCCCAGAATTCCTGAGCCAGCCATGCTGAGGGGAAAGGGAGAGGTTTCCAAGCTGAGCCATGCTGGCTCAGGAATTCTTGGAGTTGAAGTCCACGAGTCAAAAAAGAGCCAAGGTTGCCTACCCCTGATTTAGGAGAACTCAGGTTTAAAAAAAGTCAAAAGTCTTCACTAATTCTCCAGCCAAATGTGAATTACATCAAAAATACAGAAACAGACAACATTCCAGTTAAGAATGTCAAGGCGTGAAACCCTGCTGACTGGGGGATTCTGGGAGTTGAAGTCCACGAGTCTTAAAAATGGCCAAAGCTGGAGATTTCTGCTGTCACCCAAAGCTTATTTATTCTTCTTCCAGTGCCAGTAGCACGTTACCTTCTTGTTTAATAAGTTATAGAACAATTAAGACTCGTACCTTTGCCCCACTTACCGGTAGTACTTAGCCAATTCATTTTTATTTTGTTGTTTAAGAAAGAGAAGGAAGGTCAACAGCTTTCAGAGTTAAATGAGCAAATGTAACTCGGAGATTCTCAGACCCAGATTGACAATTGTATTTGCATTTGATAAGTGCAAATAAACCCAATAGGAATTGAATGTTTTGGGAAGAAGAACTAGTTTGCACGCATATACCCAAGCTAAACTTTACAAGCAGAACTGCCTTACAACGTGTTGTTACTTTTACCAAGCGCCCAGCCCCATCTGCAAACAAAATATTATTTTTTTTAATGGTATCGCACACACATATGCCTAGTTGCCCACAGTGGAGATACCAAGTTATCGCAATTCTAGAAATGAATGTATCCAGTTCCAGTTCTCTGCAGATATTCGGGATACGATAGGATTCAAACGAAAATCCTATTTTTTTTGCTTTTCTTTCAAACAAAACACAACTTTGTGGAGTTTCTAAGGATGCACGATACAGAAGCCAAAAGATCACTTCAGAACATTGTGAAGGGTTTAGGTTAAAGACACCTAATGCACCCTAAGCCTAGAAAAAAATATATATACAACAGCTCTAGGAACATGTGTAGGAATCAACCCCAAGTAACAGAAGCAATAATTAAAGGAATGTCAATTCTACTTTCCAGCAATGTAGTTAAGACCACTCTTTTGCAATTAGGGGATGACTTTTAATTATTAAATATGTCCCAACCACTCCCCCCTCCAAATCAACCACAACAAATGATATATTTATCCCCATCCTACTGGAAAGTTGTTTTAAGGATCTCAGAGGAGAGGAGGACACACATGGTCTGCAGTCCGAGACTACATCACCTTTGCAGTAATTAGTGGTTTGCTTGTTGATTAGATTTTATCCTGATTTTTAATTACTTATAAGTAATTCAAGTCTGCAAGCATACCTAATGTCCCTTCCTCCTCCTATTTACCTCACAACAGCAATCCTATATGGTGAATTGAGCTAAAGAGAGTGAATGGCCCAAAGTTACCCAGCCAGCTTTCATGTCTAAGGCGGGACTAGAACTCACCATCTCCTGGTGATTGGCCCAAAGTCACCCAGTCGGCATTCATGCCTAAGGTGGGACTAGAACTCACCATTCCCTGGTGATTGGCCCAAAGTCACCCAGTCAACATTCATGTCTAAGGCGGAACTAGAACTCACCATCTCCTGGTGATTGGCCCAAAGTCACCCAGCAAGCTTTCATGCCTAAGGTGGAACTAGAACTCACTTTCTTCTGCTGATTGGCCCAAAGTTACCCAGTCAACATTCATGTCTAAGGCGGGACTAGGACTCACCATCTCCTGGTGATTGGCCCAAAGTCACCCAGCCAGCATTCATGCCTAAAGTGGGACTAGAACTCACTTTCTCCTGCTGATTGGCCCAAGGTTGCCCAGTCAGCATTCATGTCTAAGGCGGGGCTAGAACTCACCATCTCCTGGCGATTGGCCCAAAGTCACCCAGTCCGTTTTCATAGCCAAGGCAGGACTAGAACTCACCATCACTTGTTTTTTTTAACTGTGTGCTTTAACCACTAGATGAAACTGGCTCTCCGAATAGATTCCATCTACAGGCAGTCCTCGACTTACAACAGTTCATATAGTGACCGTTCAAAGTTACAGCACAGAAAAAAGGGACTTATGACCGTCGTTCACACTTATGACCATTACAGCATCCCCATGGTCACGTGATCAAAATCCGGCCGCCTGGCAACTGATTATATTTATGACGGTTGCACTGTCCCAAGGTCAAGTGATCCAATTTTGTGACCTTCTAACAAGCTAAGGCAATGGGGAAGCCCGATTCACTTAACAACCGTGTTACCAACTTAACGACTGCAGTGATTGACTTAAACCACTGTGGCAAGGAAGGTCGTGAAACGGGCATAGCTCAAAGAACAACTTGTCTATGGAGATTCTCAACCATCCAGGTTATGGTTGTCCCAAAGGTGTTTTTTCAAGAGGCAACTGGACTTTCTTGTTTTTCTTTGAAGACGTTTCGCTTCTCATCCAAGAAGCTTCTTCAGCTCTGACTGGAGGGTGGAGAAGGGAAGGATTTATATCCTTGCAGACAGCTGGTCATTTGCATCCTTTCAGAGAGTTGTTGAGGTTTACACAGACAAAACCCCAGGTAGCCTCAAAGGCTCCCTAAAAGAATGCAAATGACCAGCTGTCAGCAAGGAGTATAAATCCTTCCATTCCCCACCAATTCAGTCAGAGCTGAAGAAGCTTCTTGGATGAGAAGCGAAATATCTTCAAAGAAAAAAAAACCCAAGAAAGTCCAGTTGCCTCCTGAAAAAGTTGCACCTTTGGAATCACTGAACAACCGTTTCACTTAGCAACAGAAATGCTGGGCTCAGTTGTAAATTGAGGACTACCTGTATCCGAATAGATGAGAGTCTATGCCTTTCCATAAGAATAATCACGTAATAATAACACAAAGAAGACACAC